TCCATTTACCGAAAAACGACGGCGAATGCCTAAAACTGGTATCGAAGATGGCTTTGAAGAAATAGAACACAAATTTCCGTTTGGAACATTCCGTCCAGAAAAACAGCACTACCTTTTCAGATGCTCCGTTGCTCGCAGATATAAGGGAGCTTTAGCAACGACGACGGCGACGGCATAGAGGACGTCAAAAAAGCAATAGGTTTATTACGCAAAACAACAACTTTGCACGTGCATTACGCTTTTTTGTACATTTCTTTACCGTCCTTGCACGAATACGACGTGAAAATGCCTAATTGCAAGTTTTATGGAGGACGCAAACAAGCGACGACGAATCTCTTTTTCTCTCTCTAGACTTCAGTGCGGACCTCAAGAAATCAACTCCAGGGAAATTCGCCTACACTTTCCATTTTCAGCAAATTGGAATAAACGCGACAAAGATTGAAAAAAAAAAGGAATTCATTTTAAAACTGACGTTTTCGCTGCAGTTGCCGTCGTCGACGCTAAAACTCCCTATTTTGCGCTGAAACGACCCGGCAAAAAGTCCTGTTCCATTCACTTTCCATCCGGATTTTCTTGAAACTTTTTGTGAATGGTAAACAACCAATATAACGTTAGGGTCTTACTCAATACGCTTTTTGAAAAATAACTTTACTATCTGTTTTCCTTAAGGGGAAAGTACCAAGGAATGAGTACGGCAATGTGGAACTGTTTCTGCCCTGTATGCTTCCTCCAGGAACGAAGCATATTCAGAGTAAGTTTGAATTCGCGTTATTACGACGGCCAATGGGAGATTCAGCATTACATGTTCAATATGGAATCCAGGCATTTGCTAAATTCAAGCGTCCTGAATGCACTAGATTGCATCTCAGAGAATTTCAATCTCCAAAAATTTCCCGAAGGAGCATGCGCCCGAAATTGCCTAAAAAAGTGCGCCGTTATTCGCAGTCCAGATGGGCGCCATATTGCCACTTTATACTATATTTCTAGGCCCCCTCTATCACAAATCCTCCGTCCGCTCCCGGATTTTGTTTTGTGTCTTCACTCATAAGTAATTTGCTATTTCCACAGTTAATGGCATTCAACGAGTGGCGAAGAAACTTGGGATTGACTGTGCACAAGCTGTTGTTGGATTTGATTTCCACTGTGGATTCAGCCATCCTGTGTGAGTATTCGCATACCACCTACTACGCTTTAAATAATCTTCATATTAAGATAATGTGAACTTTTATAATAATATAAACACCAATGAAATACCAGGTGCACATGATACCTTCACATGTGAAAATAACATGTTACTTCACATGTGGAAAGATCGCCGTTGCTATGGCTAGATAATAATTGGCGCCGTTTGCAGCAAAAAAACTGTTCAAAAGTGAAATAGTTTGGAATTTCATTGGTGTTTATATGATGAACAGAACATTACATAGCCGCTTGGAGGTACGCAAATTTCTCTTCTCGTGTACTAACTGCGGGAACAATTAGACCGTTCTCTTCGATAATTTTAATGCAATTACTCCACTATAAGTACAACTTTATAATCTTGCTTCAACCGAGAACCTCTGTACTAATGGCCGCTCAAAATTTAACGACTAAATCCTGTAGCGTGACCACTCAAATGAAACCTGGTCAGCAGTACTTACACAAAGTAGTATTTTAAAATTCTGTTTTGCAGTCTTTTATCAACTGAAATGTTGTTGTTCAACGATTTTTTTTAAATTTTGCTTAATTTTTTCCAATCGTGGCAGCATTGATGGTGTGGTTGTGTGCCAGGAATTTGAACAAGTTCTTTTAGATGCTTGGAGAGAGGAGGAGGAACAAGCTGAGAAGAGAAAGGCAGAGGTAACTTACAGTGCGCTCTCTCATTTGCTATTTCGTGGTCACATGACGTCTAATGATCAAATTATTTTCCCGCCAAAAGTTTCTGAGCGGGCAACAGACAAATTGTGACGTCATAGGGATATGGCCCAATGCTACTTACGAATGTTGACTTCCTTTTTTTGTTTTGCTTTTGTGTTGTGAGATGTCTCAGTTGCTCGGTGACTTGAATTCAGTGTCTTATTGAATTTTCTTTTTGCAGAAACGCGAGAAGCGTATGTTAGCTAACTGGAAGCTACTGACCAGATCTCTTTTAATCAGAGAACGACTCAAGAAGAGATATGACACTGAGGTACATGGAAGACCAAAACTGCCTTCACAGGAAAGCGGTTTTGTGATAGTTTGTGTTCCCTCACCCTTCACTTCGCGAGGGGGCACAGTAAAGGAAATATATCGCGTGTTCTGATTGGTTGCCCGAGCGGACAAGTCTATTTTTCCCACTTGGGATTGCCCTTTTTTTTCCCGCTACATTATCATTACAGGCCTCGACTTTGCCTTGACCCATAAAACAGAAAACATACAAACAAACAAACAAACAAACAAACAAAAAACAAGACCCATATCCAGCCATCATGAGCGGATAAACTTGGTAAAAATAAGGGCAGGTTCTTTGCAACAGATAATGCTCTCCACCCCACTTCCCTTTCTGTTCTAGCATCTACTGGCTGTTGAATAAAATAATGATTACAGTATCTGACTGTCTTTCTAGGAGACCAAAACAACCGAGGCCCCAGACAATGAACAGAGTGAACTGACGACGGACGCATCAGTGTCATGGCCTTTTAACAGACAAGGTATTGTAATCTTCACGACATTTCACAAATACTGTTTTCTTAGACCTTAGCCTGTGTACCCCCCTCCCCTCAAACAAAATAGGAGGTGGGGGGAAGGGGTGCTCCACACAGGTCCCTTCCTCGGACCAATCCGGCAGGGATGAACCAGCATACCGCTCGGTACATTAGGGGACCTTCGCCACCCAGACACAGGACCAGCCCACAAAGTGCCGTATTCACTGCCACACCACCGGAAGGGGTTTATCTCAGACTGAGACCCCGTCAACTCCAATCCTGATATATAATTTTTTAAAACCACATATTTTTTTACACAAATTTCAAGCGGGTCAATAAGCGGATTCACTGGTTTCGTGTGCACAGAAGGCCGATTCGTGTGAAAAAAAATATACTGTATGCGGTTTGAAAAATATCCGGATTCGTGTGGTCGAGGCCTGAAACATTTGCGCCATATTTAGTAATATCAATTTTTCACTTTTTCAGAGGGAAAATCAAGTGTTGCAGGAGACGGACACTGCCATGTTTTTCCTGAAAAAGGGCGTAAACAGGATCCAGTGACTGGTGAATGGACGAAATCCTGTTCTTGTGGACTGACTCTCCCATTTGAGAAAATGTAGATTTTAAGGGGCTCTGTGGAACTCTCACACGATCTCCCACTTAAGAAACGAAAACTGTGCCGAGTTAACTCTTGCAAAGACTTCTGGGAATGTTACTACGGAGAGGGGAAAAAAATTCGCGCATAGAGAGATTAAGATTCAAGTTTACACTAAACGGCAAACGTGAATTTGTACCACGTGACCAAGTTTTTGCCTTTATTGCCGTTAACTGTTTATTACTTTAACTAAAAGACAAGTAGTTTTATGCCAGTTTTATACATAAGAATTGTTCTGGACACTTTTTATCTGCTTATTTTCTATTCTGAGAAATTCTCAACTTGAATTTGACTTTTGACGTTTGGCGTAAACGTGAATCTTAATCTCTCTAATAGCTGACCGGCGTGAGTCCAATAAAGATCTCAGATACAATCGCAGGACACATTTCGGCACAAATTCCCTTCCCGTCGAAATCGCTACTTATGAACCAGTTAACATTCACAAAGACTTTGGAACTATAACAGAGGCATGGAAAGGCTAACCGGCGCGTCCCCGATAACGATCCCGGAGGTCTTTGTGAAAATTAACTCGTTCCAGTGTGAACATTTGGATAACATATACATGTATCGTTCACAAGTGAAAAACGGATTAAAGAACAGAGTTAAGCTATATTACACTACACAATAATTATATTCTTTATGTATCGTTTAAAAGCGAGAAACGGACTAAAGATCACAGTAAGCTATATTACACTACATAATACATTCATTAAATAACGACCGGTTTTCCTGGACGTGCCAGACTATAAACCGGAAAGAAAGAAGGGAGGAAGCCGAGAAAAAGAGAAAAGTTACAGTTTCAGTTACTAAGTATATTTCTTAAGTTAGAAGAATTTCTCGCGCCACGCAAACATTTTCTGAAAACGAAATGCAGGGGATTCATATAAATTATCTAGTACTCAAAAGAAACTTTAAATATGTTCTGTTTGTACGGTTATTTTTTAAAGATAAACCTTCATAGAGAGAATTTAACAACAAACCCATTGTTATCTTAAAATAACTAGGTTTATTAGTTTGGTTCTTTAAAAATAAAATAAATGATAAAATGGGCACTTTTAAAAAGGTGTGACTTTGCTCGTTTGATTTTGTTATATAGAACAGACAAGGTACACTTTCTGTTACCCTTCGCGTAGCGAATTTTTTAACCAACCAGACAGTGGGGAAAAATTATCCACTTGATTTCCAAATATCGTTTATCTCAACTGGAAAGAGACTCGCGACCACCTGGCACATCTTGGTTTTTAGATGTTACTCTTAAGTGTGGTACCCAACAGTTAAACTTCTGCACTGACGGTTCAGGGTTCGAAATAATTTTCGGACGGTCGGTTTCCGGACACGATGACCGGCCGAAAAAATGTTTGCTCGGTCAAGTCTCGTTGCTGACAGGTTATATTATTCTGGGAAAATGTTAACTAACCCTTATGTGATTTTCTGTTTGTGAGCGTGTCTTACAAAGAGACAAAAATCTAAGATTTAAAGTGTGAGAACTGGCTGTTATTGTTGTTGTTTTCTTTTTTCCAAAAATGAGAGTGTGCGTGACAAGTCAACATGACAGACGAGTGAAGTTTGTGGCAGGTCAAGTCAGGTTATTGTCCTTTGATTGGCCATTATTTTGAGTCCTGTGGTAGAAATCATGGACTGCCAACGCCTTCCCGTCTTCTCAAAATAGTCGCCTTGGTGATTTATCGATTGAACGCCACAAGTCTAATACGATTGCAGTCTTGAGGGTGCCGCAGAGCTATGCCACACCTTAGTAACAGTTCAATGTACGGAGGCCAGTGAAAATCCTTTATTCGGATGTAAGGATCGTGAGGCCTGGCGTACAACATGTTCATCAGGTCCTATTGAGAGAAATTATTTGTCGTTTGAAATGTGTTTATATTAAGACATTTTCACCCTCTAGCACTGTAAATGTCCATTCAAATGATATTACTGTAGGATTCAGGATTCAGGAAATAAGTATTGTCTGGCGGTCCTCTGAGTTCGGGGCAAGAAACTTTCAATCCTTACTTGCAAAATGGACAGGGGCCCAGGCAAGCCGTCTTAACCCTTTAAGCCCCAAGATCCAAATACAAATTCTCCAGACTGGTCTCCATACATTTCTTTTAAGAATAGTTGAGAGAATTTGGTTTAAGATCAAAGCGTTCTCTTTGGTAATCAATTAAGTAATTCTCATAACCTGTACTCTTGATGATCTGCTGATGTTGTTAGGAGAAAATGGACGTTGGTCACCCTTGGGACTTAAAGATTTACTATCATTATTATCATTTTCACTATCACTATCATTGATATAATCATTATCATTACTGACATTGTCATCAACATCATTATTATTATTATTATTATTATTATTATTATTATTAATTTTATTATTATTATTATTATTATTATTATAAAATGCCCTGAGAACTCCAATATTTCTTTCTACTCACCTCTGTTAGCTGTTGAAGTGAGATATAGCTGATGTTTGGATCTACAAGAACTCCCTTCCCTTGATTCTAGAAGGCAAAAAAACATATAAGATAAGGTAATAACAAATTGAAAATCAAGGGTACATTACCCCACCGTCCCACCCCCTCATAAACGTTCCTATGTGCCTGGTCTTCGCTCAGTGAACCAACAGGCAAGAAGGTTAATTCTCTGTTGATTGACACCACTATAAAATGTCCACCTCTTTAAAACAGAAACCCACAGTAGAGTTGGTCCAGGCTAATTCTTCAGTCATTTTTATTGCCTTAAACAAACACCAAGATGTTGCCGCTGCTCTTGTTTGCATTGGTCCTAACAGTGAAGAGAGTTCTCCATAAAGGGGCAATGGAGATACCAGAAAGAAGCTTAGAACAAAGCTACAGGTGGACAGACTGCCACGCTCCTCCCACTGTTTTCTGAACAGCCTGGGGCTTTTTCCATAGGAATGCTGCAGTAAGCACATTCAATCTTTTGGAATATTTTTTTTGTAATTTTTTTTTTTTGCCTGGAATGCTGTGTAGAAGGAATGAATGAAAATGTGAAAACTAAGTCCTAAAAAAATGTACCTTGTTTCTTTTCACATCATCAGGTGATGGCAGAGGAAAGTTTGTGGACAAAAATGATCCCTGCATTAAAATGACAAATGAATAGATAATTATTAATTAAATCTTAGTGTTGCAACTTTGGCATAATAATCAGAGTCTATCACAAAGGAATCATGCTAAGTGTAATGTATCTTGTAGATGAAACACCATGAAAAGAACTCCTTAGAATACTCTTAAACACTGCACTTTTGTATGAAGTTTTAAAAAATGAGATTTGGGATTTTTCTTTATTTTCAGTTTGTTTCATGAATATGAGTGAGGTGTTTGAAAGCAGACATTCCTTAGGCTGTTGTGTCTTCAGTCCAAAACACCAATGAGACTGCTGTGCTCTAGCAGAGCTGTGTGACCCCTTGCAACCAACATTTGCCTGAGGCTAAGTTTTGAACACTACAGTACATTATAGACTCAAAATAACAGGTTCCCAGCTTTTACTGTAAAACTAACAAGACCAAGGACACCAGAAATATTTTTGGAATGTTACTGTGTGTTGCAAGGGAAAATCCAAACGGGTGTGGGGAAACTAAACTGCAAGATATAAGTTTGTGGTTGTGTGGCTTGCTTACTTGTCCTAATCTTTGCTGTGATTTGACATGCAATAAACATTCAAGGGTTTTGTTTGTAGCTTGACAGAAAGCCTTGATGAGATTTTGCTCATTGAGTGTGAAAAAGTCAAGAAGAGACCTATGAATAGGAGCCATACTACAAACCAGTTTTCTCATGATCTGAGTAAGATACACATCTGCAGCTTTCTTTTGTTTTTCAAGTTCTTTCATCTGACTGAAAAAATTAACACAGAATATTTCATTACTTATCTTCCATCCAGAATTTTGCACTGCAGGTAGCCGAAACTATTTTCTTGGGAATTTGCAACAATCATTAAAATCTCCTCAACAAATCCTGAAACACTGTCAAACATAAACAAATACTAAAATAACTTGGTAAATACTAAAACAAACAACCCCTCTAAGTCTCACAGTCAGTGCATACTGTGCCAGGTACAGAGCTAGACAAAGGAAAATGCGTGAAAATTGCTATCCAATGATTTTATAAATTTTAAATAGGCTTATACACTCATTATGTGCCACAGTGGAGGGTAAAGATGTCTAGTATGGGAGAGGTGTAGAAGTCAGAGGAATTGTGGAATATTGATTGGTGGTGCAGGTATCAAGAATTGGGCTTTTTGGTCCATCGGAATCTAGCAAAGGGAAGATATTTTGGGTTCTACATGTAAGTCCAGAAAAGGGTACTTAAATAATTTAATTATTGAACTACAATAAATTAATATTATAGTTCAATCAGCAAAATGAATGGTTTGGTATAGACCAAGGCTTGGTTCCATTGTCCTGGCCAGCATCACACCTCCATGCACCCAAAAACTATTTATCATATGTATACACAGAACTAATGTTTTGAATACCTTATTCCACTAGGAGCATTTTCTTTTTCTTGCTCCAGGCTCTCAATTTTCATTTGAAGAGAGCGACCAATCTCCTTATGCTGATTAAGAATCTCTTCCTCTCTGAAAATCAATGATCATGTAATCAACCGATAAGTCCCAAAATAAGTGGGTGCACTGTTTGCCCAAGTAGCCAAGTCTCAGGACTAGCAATTCATGGTTCAAATCCCCCTGTCCTGTGGGTAATTTTTCTTACTGGTTGTGTCCTGCCAGTTGGAGTTTTCCTGTAACCAGGTTATTTTTTTCTATTCGTTAGGGACGCAGGACGCAGATGTAAGAAGATCACTGGTTCACGGTTTTCTGAGCTTGACAGTAACTTTAGATAAAAGATAAATACCTCTTAAGTTCATCCTCTACTTCTTTGCGTTGCTTTCTAATCACTTCTAATGTCTCTTCCAACTGTGTTATACTTGTAAGCAACTTATATAAAACAAAACAGTGGTATAGAACAATTCTGAAGTTTGGTGCTAAAGAATATTGATGGCCTCCACTCTACCCCCACACTTAAGTCGCACTAAAATTTCCAATGCTCAGAGTCTTTAGAAAAAAAATCAAACAACAACAACAAAAAAAACAATACAATAACAAAATAACAATGGCAACAGCAAAAAAAAAAAAACAAAACAATATTCTATTATGTACTCTGAAGTCAGTGGGGTTTATACACTGTACCTCACTCCTTAGACATGTTCCAGTGTACTCTGGATTTGCTGATGTAACTATGAGAAACAAAAGAGAAAAATGCTGAGGAATGAGGAATTCGAATAACAGAAGAACTGTGAAATCAATTCTGAATGCTAGTCAAAAAGTTTGGGAGGGGGGGGGGTGCTGGTTGAAATGACATCTGGGCTAGTAAATGCTAGCTTCAGCTTGCCCGAATGGCAGGCTGTAAAAATGATTTTCTTTGCACCCTGCATATGAGGGTACAGTTAATTTATTAATTTATTAACAGTATACATGTACATTATTATAAACTTAAATTATAAATGTAAATTATTATTATTATTATTATTATTATTATTATTATTATTATTATTATTAATTTCATGCAAATGCTCACCTTGAAGGCCCTGATTTTCCAAAGCTACGAGTTCCGTCTGAAGTTTCTTTTCTTTTACCTTAAGCACTTTTTCAAGTACCTATGGATAATTATGCCAAACTGTTTAATATATCCATGAATAAGTCTGTTCATCACATTAAGATTAATTAATGTCAATAATTATTATTAAAAGATCATAACAACGAGCTTTACAACCTGGACCTGCATCCAATTTTAACAAGTCTCCAGATAAGTCAGCTGCAGTTTAGTAGCCACTGATGGAGAAGCAAGAATGAGAATCATTGTTTCCAAACTACTTCTTTAGAAACCAAAACACAGCACTCACTCAAGGACGCACCCAGCAACAATATTTATCGACTAACTAGTGAGAGATACTTGTATCGGTCTTCTTACCAAGCAGGATATCTCTATCTGTCATGGCAAGAAGACAGGAATGGGACAGACTCATCAAATTAGTGCGGGTGCACTCAAATTAGAAAGATAGATAGTTTAAATTATTTAAAGTACACATAAACTGATAATTATAGGTTTGAGAAAGACCTATTAACAGGCCCACCTTCGAACCATCCAAGCCGCCTTCATCCACTTTAGATGAGCCTGCCCTAGTTCTTGCTTCTAGCCGGGCATGAGTCTTCAAGTAAAACAAATAAAGTCTAAAAATTAATAATGAATGTTACAATTCAATTTTAGGGTTTACCATGTACCCTCTATTAAGCCCCCCTGGGGGCTTATTTAATTCAAGCAAGGGGGTTGGGGGTTTAATAAGGGGGGGGGGGGCACTTATTTTAGGAGGGATCATTAGTTTAGTGAAGATGATGGTATTAATTCTCCATAAAAACTAGAACACAAAGTGGAAAAGCTCTGGCACATGAAGTTGGAGGTCTTGTACCTGAAGCTCAGGGGGAATACTTCCTAGTAATAGGCTAATGGGGATGGGCCGCTGGATGGGGTCACATTTTCACGGCTGGATTGACTGTATTGGGGTTGCAGTTTTTTTCTTTGGAGTTACATGAACTAATGAAAGATGATAACAGCACTATAAACACATGATTTTATGTTACTGCAGCTTGTTAGAGGATTTGTGCACTCAAAATGTCATAGTAAGAAAAATAGTGACGTAAACAAGCCTCAATTAAATGAGAATGTAAGGAAAAATTCCTGAAGGTACTTTTAGAAAATCCATAGACAAAACTAAAGGAAAATCAAATAATTCAAACTAAGAGAAAAGGTCATATATAAAAATGATAATAACAATGATTATCATGTTATACACAATGTACAGTGTACATGCATGTTCTATTTTAGTGTATGTCTACAAGAAATATCTATATTTATAGGCTGTTGTCAACATACACAAACTTATGTATTCATTTACGGTCAACTTGCCTGGGCACAGCCATACAGTAGGCCTCTTTATAATAATTTGCCTTACAAAACAATAGCAGGGCTTAATTGTAATTCAAGTGGTTACAAATTTCACTGAAAACATGTAAACTTCACTCCAATTAGTTGGCATCTGGTCCAACAAACCACATAAAAATGGTGAGAAAAAATATCCTGGGAGAAAAAATATGTTTTTCAAATAGATTGATAGATAACAATCATGATCTTACATTGTTCAACTCCTGCCAAAGGGTTTCACATTCATTCCGTAGTTGCAATTCAGCGGAGATGTGTCCCTCAGATAAATGGGCAGTTTCTTGTCTCTCGCCAGTGACATCTTGGTCTTCCAGTGAAGTGCTGACATTAAACAGCCAGGAGCGCCGCACAACATCAACGTTCTGGAAGCAATGGGAAATCATATAATTGAACAATGATTATAGCCGCTGGTACCTCTCTACATTATTTTTTATGCAAAATAATAACACCGTCTTTTATTGTCTGCAAAGTCACCAATAGAATCATCACCGTCATAATGACTTAGGGCTGTTACTAAGATTTCAAGTTTCTAGTTATGTGCGAACTGTAAACATGGCATAATGAACAGCTGCATGTAGGAGGTTCTTTTGGTTCTTTTTTCCTTTTGTTTCCTATGAAGTTAGCCAAGGGTCAAGCTCATAGTAGCCAGCTGGGGATAGCACCTGCATCCAGCCTTAATGGCGAGCTTAAGCGATTATGGCGATGGTAAAATCAATAGGTTTAGATTGGCAAAAAAAAAAAAATTTGCACATGCATCAAGCTTTTTTGTACATTTCTTAGCCGTCATTCACGACTACAACATGACAACAACTTTTTTTTCTTTTCCTGCATGAACTTTGATACAGTCCCTTAGAATTCAACCCCCCAAAAATTTGCCAGCATTTGACAAGTTAAACGAAATGGAATAAGCGTGATATAAGTTTGAGGCAGCGCGAATTTACTTTTAAAGTGATGTTTTCTTAGCCATCGTGGACTGATGTCACTCTGACAAGCAAAAATATTTCAGGCGCATATGGCACTGAAAAGACAAAAGACTAAAAAAAAGAGCAAAACATGGCCAGAAAAAGAGAACAAAGCAAAATATTTCATATTCATTTCAACATGAAACGGTGAAAATTTCCAAACAGCTCTAGCCATACAGTGATAAATAGGCAGGAAGATGTGATAATAGAAACTGTGTTTATTGAAGGTTTGACCAAAATGTTTTTTTCCCTTGATATCAAACAACAAGTTATTTTGGTGTGAGGCCAGAAAACACTTTTGATACTGTCAATTTTTATCGGTAGCTCAATCAGTGTGGCATGTACTTTGAGCTGTGGAAAGGCACCTGTTTACCAATAACCTGATATTGCTTCTGATCAGGCATTAATTACTGGCCTCAAGCTGTGAGGAGCTTGTCCAAAATTTAGCTAGAGATAACTTGTAGCATTTTTAAAAGGGGCCAAACAAACATACATTTCCCTGTGGCAAATCATGGCAAAAACACAACAGGCGAAGGGATGATCCCACCAGCCATGGGGTTAGCCCCCACAGCAGATGTTCATTCAAAGCCTGAATGTGTGGGAGGCTACCACTGGGGCTACCTGACAGCACTCTTGCCATGTTTTGATCACGGATCTAATTTCAGACTTCGGCACCCTTTTACTAAAAATGTGGACTTGACTTTACCTTGGTCTTTACAAGAAAATTACTATGTTTAGTTTAAATTTAAATTGTAAAATACTAGAAAGTAAATACATGAAAAAGTACTGCTAAAAAGTTGGACCACTCACTACATGGGTGAAATGAGGACTATCGTTGCTTTTTTTTTTCTTTTTGCGCATAAGTATAACTCTAATGTCACTCTACTGATTGTCACATGATAGCAGTCTTAACTCACCACACACAGTGCAGGCATAAAGATACATGCATGATTAATTTACGGCTGTACATGTAGTTAAAAATTAAGTAAACATAAAGTTGCCATCATATGAACACTAAACATGGACACTCAAATGGCTAAGTTTTTTGTGTTAGGCAAATGGCTGTATGATACAGTGCAATAAACTACAAACATTGGCCACCCTTGAAGGGATAATTCAATTACGTACACATTGTCCATCAAACCTTTCACTTCAAATAGTGGAAAAAATAAAAAAATAAATTTCTTTTTGTCACTAACCACATGTATGTTCTACTATTTTAAGAGCTTTTAAATGAATGGTAACACCATTAAGATTTTGTCTGCAGGCTCAAAAAAATAAATGACTTAAGAATAAAATTTAATCTTTCCATAATGTAGTCTGAGAGTGAATGGGTTAAGTGGCCATGGGATTTACTACATTGGGTTATTACTCACAACGTGGCAAAAACACTTTAAGCACATTAGCATGAGGTAGTAAAATGACCTAGCCCTGCCAGGATGGTTTCAACCACAAGACTCACAAAAAGGTCTCCATTAGTGGTTGTTAGCTCTGGAATCTAAGGTAAGGCTATGCAGTTGTGTAAGGGAATAACGTACAGGAGAGTCTGCCAGCCATTGGCAAGCAGAATGATCCACTACACTTACTGTCTAATACATTTTTATACCTATAGAGGGCAACTGTCATTCGATGGGCTTGCGAGCAAAAATTGTTGACCGTGAAAACTGTGGGCTAACTCCTTTAGTGCTCTAGGCTGATGAACATCATGTATTACGATGTAATAATCTTATCATTGTGAATACTCTCACCAGATGATCCGATGAATCCATGTACAGTTTTGTAACAGCAGACTGAAGACCTTTAAAGAAAAATAAAGAGAGGGAGAAAAAGGAATATTGAAAGCTGGGAGGAAAACCCACAGAAAAGTTTCTTCAGATTTTCTTACTTTGTTTCAAGCTATGATTTAGACCATTCAGGACTTTTATGGGTCTTGTTGAAGTTTAATTTGGGGTAATGTATGAATAATAATAATACTATCATTATTATTATTATTATTATTATTTGGCCTCCTTCGTTATGTACCTTCTACATAAATCTCCTCTGAGGACTACAAACCTGTCCCAACATGCAATGTTTAGAGTCAAAACTACTGTCACTCTATATCAACCCTTTAATAACTTAAAGCGACCAACACTTCATTTCTCCTTGCTAAATTGAGGTTGAAGTACGACTGAAGGCATTGAAACACTGCTCAGTCAAACAAACAGGTTGCGAGAAAAAAAAAGTAAGGGACAAACAGGTGAATTAAGTCTTCTCTGTAATACAAATTCTCTTCATCATATATAAAGAATACTGTGAGTAATATGCAAGCTGATATCAGGATTTTGAATGGTTGGACGACTGTCATTTACTAAAATCAACTGAATGTATGACGCTTCTCATGACAAACAACCATTGTTTGGGTGTAATATTTTCTCTTAACAGACAATTGTTATGCAAGAAAGATTACAATAGATTGGTCGTCAGTTGGAACAATGCATCAGACTGGATATGTCTTTAGCCAAGAACACATAATCACGCAATAACGCATTACAAAAAGAAAGGTCAACTGGTTTCGACTAGAGATTCTTTTTGTCCATTTCAATTTAAGGCGACAAAGAGAAAAATCGAACACACAGCTCATTTGGGGGCAGGAAACTGCTTGCCTCGTATATTTTGCATCAGGTAAAATACCTGTGAAGAATAGATCGTTCCTCAAAAGGTGGCTTTGTCAAAAGAAAACCCAATTTGCGACTTCAAGTGTTTACAAATTGTACGGCGCCATGTTGTTTAAAATGGCGCGAAAGTGTCATAATATCGAACGACAGCTTTATTTAGCCGCAAATCGATTTACTCTAAATCAGGAATCATGCTGAAGCTTAAAATACAATAACTTACCTTTCTTTTTCAACGTAAGAGCTTTAATCACGGAATAGGAGAGATATTAAGCGATCGCTTCACCTCAACGATCACTCACAGGGACCTCATTAGTCCGAGTTCGACTGTTTGTTGACAAGTCTGGGCATATTCTTTCCGCGCGCCATCACACCATGTCACGTGATCAATATTTGACTGACAACACTCTATGAATGAACCAATTTTGAGAACATATTGTCAACAACAGCCAATCAAAACTCATATAAGGTTGTTGATATAGCAACTCGCGTAAAAAAATTTGAAAGGACAATGGCGTCTCTTTACAGTCCGTAGTAAGAATTTTCACTGATCACGGGTGGCGCTCGCAAAAAGGGCAATTTTCCTGCATTTTGGAGCTGAAACGGATCGAAAACTCTCAATTTTGCACTCATTTTGCATCGTTCCTGCGATCGCACTTCCGAGTGACACCTTTGCAAAGACGCTCGAGGTAAGTGTGAAAATTTTCATTCAATTATGCTTGGCGAAATTTTGAAGGGTAGATCTGACCGAAACGGTGCAATACTGCAATAAGTTGTCCTCGAAAGCAGCATCTTCGGTGTGCATCTACTGTGTTTTAAAATCAAATCTTTTTAAAGATGTTTATAGAGTGTTCGATCGTTCCGATGTAGAAGGACGATGCAGGCCTGCGCCAGCTAAAAGTACAGTTGTGGTTGTAATGAAAAGTAACAATAGTACAATAGTTCCAGTTCATAAACAACGTAACCGGCCGGTTGTTGCTTGTTTGAAGATTCGTGTTCTTGAATTTGATGGAACTTATTTGTTTGTTTCTTTGCCTTGCAATTTTTTCGAAAGGCAAAATGACCATCGGGGATTCCCCCAGGATGCAAGGGACTAGAATATTCCCCTTTCATTTTTTGAGGTCACTGCCGTTCAGTTGCTGTTGTCAACTCGATGATGTACGCACTTTTTAAACTTTTCTATCTGTTGCACCGCCTGGAAATTGCAACAGCTTTTCTTGCTAAAAGGACACGGAATTGACTAAATTAGGCTGCATTTGGGGGCGTTTTTGGAGCATTGATTTCTTGCAGAGGCCTGCAGCTAATCGATCCGCGATAAAAAAATGATGACTCAATGACATTCCTTTACACAATACTAAACCGCAACGAAAATCTGTCTTAGCAAGTCGTTCTCTTGCTTCAATATCATATGATTTGCTTAACTTGCTCAGGGCCAGAGACATTCCGTCACATAGAGTTAGAGAACGGTAAAGCGTTTTTGTAATGCACTTTATTCGCGTTTTACAACATTCCATGGCGATGGCGAAAGAAAGGCTCCGTGTTTATAACAGAATTGCTGTACTATGTGTCCTCTCGGACTATATTGTGATGCTAATGCATGTAGGCACATCAGGTGAGCTCTTCCATTGTGTATTGTTGTGGTGTTAAAAACAATCGGTTCTTTCATAGTTTGATAATGAAGCGGAAAATAACAATTTCATTCAAAATATACTCTCGTCACAAACTTGCTCACCTTTTAGTTTTATGGATCATGGGATGACTTTAGCGGAGATGGAAAAATGACTGTGGATTTTTTAAATAGGTGCTAAATTTCAACGCCTTTATCAGGAGCCAGAAAAGCAAGGAATCTTCAGATTGACCCAACAAGAAATAGCCGATCTTTGATGTATGATTGTATGAGATGGTTCAAAAACCTAAAACAAATCACCAATGGTTCAAGAGCCTCTCTTTTTAACGGTCATGCGACGCGCTTAGCCACTCGACACAGAGACTCGCGTGCAAAGGCCGTATAATGTTAAATTCTTTTAAACTGAAGGAATAATTTTAAGAAAACATTCAACAAAGGTTTGTTTTAAATCGAGCCAAATCAAAACATGTTACATAACCGTGGTTAAGGTAACAATTCAACTAAATTAAGTCGCTAACACGGATTTCGATCCTGGACCCATCGCGGGATGGAATGTAAAAGTTAACCTTTGCCCATTTTAATACGTGACACTATGCCATTTTGGAAGAAGTAATTTTATAGGAAGAGAGTATATGTTCAGACCAATTGATTTCGATAATGGCGATAAGAAAGTTATAGCAACGGTTTACCTCCTTTGAGTGAATTGATAGCAGAAATACGACGTTTGAAGCAAAGTGTACAAATGACTACACTTCCAGTGACTCGGGTACACTAGTCCGAAGTGTTCAGAATTAAGTGAATAAGACTCTAACGGATTTTTCGATTACAAATGTAGCGGGAACTAAGGTGCACTTCCGATCTTTTTCAGGACCCCAGTTCCCAGGTCCTAGTTAGCCTTGTAATGTTATGATAAGCATCGGGTCAGCATTTCTTTCTCCCTATTTTAAAGTTGGCCCCTCCGGCAAAACACGCCAGTACAGTAATCGGTTGAGAACGGTTGAAACTTTCGGCTTGCTTTGGCAAATTTGTAATAGCGGTATGTTCCTGAGCTTGTGATTGTCATAATTTCATGGAAATCATGCTTTGAATGAACATTCAGGTTTCTTTACTGTGTGTTCTCCTCTTTTACGCTTTTATGTAAAAAATAATAATAATAATAAAATATATCCTTCTTCAGGCAACAAAAATCATTTTTCGCGTGCTCGCTTGACTCCCCGAAAATTGCAAAGAAGGTTATACTGCTACAATATTTACAGGCAGCTATCCGTTTGATCCTTGCGTATGTTATAAAAAAAAAATTGCCTTTTTTAGATCACTTGATCTTGAGTGCTTAATTTCCGTCACATAACTGATTGTTTG